TGACATTCAGTTTATGGTCACATTACTCAAATAGAAAAAATAAAACTGGATCTTTATGCTGTGCACAAAAATCAATTCCAAGTGAGTTAAAGGCCTAATGTGAAAAGAAAATCTTTAGAACTCTTAGGAGAAAATATATGAAAGTATCTTTATGACTCAAAGACATAAAGATATGTCTTCTAAATAATATACAAGAAGAATCTTCTAAATAATATACAAAAAAAGAAATAAGATACACAGAAAATAATCAATTTGACTTAATTAAAAACTTCTGTTCATTGAAAGAAAACATGAAAAAGCGAAAACAAGCTCTCTCTCTCTATATATATATATATATATTGTGAAACTTATTTGCAATGCATGTAATCAAGGATTAAAAGATTGATATTCAGATTATAAAGAGAACTTTTACAAATCAAAACCAAAATACAAACAAGGGCCTTCCCAGTAGGCGCAGCAGGTTGAGCACAGCGCTGTGAAGCTGTCCGCAGCCTCTGCAGTGCGGGTTTGACTCCTGGCTGGCCAGGGAGATGCCACATGGCGCAACAGACCTCTCCTGTCTCTCCGCTGCTCCCCTCAGCAGTGTATTTCAGTCTGTCTGCCTGTTCTGCTCCCTGCTCTGTCTCTGGTGAATCCTCTCACCCCCCCACCTCTAACCTGTACCTCAGTTTTTGTATAAAAATAAAACAAATCTTAAAAACCAACCAACCAACCAACCAACAAAAAACCAAAAGACAAACAATGCAACAGGAAAATGGGTAAAAGAACTCATAGATGAGAAACAATAAATCAATAAATATGGAAAAAATCAACCTTGTTAATAATCATGAACATATACATTAAGCCATCATGAGAAATCATTTCACATCTCTCAGATTGTTTTTTAAATAATCTGATAATACCAAGGATTGGCAAAGGTGTGGAGCAACAGAACACACTCCTGTTACTCTGGAGAGTGCTTTGTCATGATCCAATAGAGTGGATAATGTATATGTGACTTTACTCTCTACAACACACAAAAATGGATCTTCCATATGATCCAGCAATTCCACTCCTACGTATCTACCCAAAGAACACAAAAACATTAATTCAAAAGAACACCTGCACCCCCATGTTTATTGCAGCACTATTTACAATAGGTAAGCTGTGGAAACAACCCAAATGCCCCCAAAATAGATGTCTGGATCAAGAAGATGTGGTATAAATACACAATGGAATATTATTCAGCAATCAAAAGATAAGCTCATGCAATTCACAGCAACATGGATGGAGCTGGAAGGGATCATGCTCAGTGAAATAAGCCAGAAAGAAAAATACTGGATGGTATCACTGATAGGAGGAATGTAGAGGAACCAAATATGTGATTAGGAAAAAAAATTAATTATAATAAATTAAAAATCAAAATTAACAAGCAACTATAAACCAGAGACATTCTGCAGGTGGGGAGAAGGGAGTAGGATCAAAACAGGGGTAGGAAGAGCACAAGGGACTATGATGATGGTACATGGGTGAATGGGTGGTGGGAATTTCACAGGAACTATAACTGAGATGAGAAAGCAAGCATACATTGTACAAAAATGAAGAGTGATATAAAAAATATATAAAATAAGGGCCTCCCTGGTGGTGCAAGGGGTTAAGCACAGCACTATGAATCTATCCGCAACATCTGCTGCACAAGTTTGATCCCTGGCCAAGGAGCTACCCACATGGTACAGCAGACCTCTCCTGTCTCCCCGCTGCTCCCCTCAGCAGTGTATTACAAATTGAAGATCTGTGTAACTTTCTGGTTTCTACAAATAGACTAAACTCAGATTTACTGTCTTTTTATTCAGTAGTTTGTGAGTCTAGTTCTAAGAGAAGGAAGTGGTGACCATTAAGTCACTTATGAGTATGTTAAGCCAATTTCATTTTCTTTTTTGGTAAGGTTATTTGACTGGTAAAAGATATTATAGGCATGGCTTATTTTCTTTCTTTTTTTTTTTTAAGATTTATTCATTTATGCATACAAGAGCTGGGGCACAGACCAGAGGTGTGTGTGTGGGGGGGGGGGTTGAGAGACAGAATGGGGAACAGAACAGGCAGATTGACCAAAGCACACTGCTGAGGGGAGACAGGAGAGGTCTGCTGCGCCATGTGGGTTGCTACCTGGCCGGCCCAGGATGGAACTCATGCTGCAGAGGCTGTGGACTGCTTCATAGTGTGGTGCTTAACCCCTTGCGCCACCAGCGAGGCCCAGACATGGTTTATTTTCATTATAGCATGTAGTTTGATGAAGTTTTATGAATTCCTTTAGAAAGGATAGAGAAATGTTGCCAAATGTTGACCACTAATATGTGGGATCATTGGAGGTTTAAGAAAAACACTGGAAGGGGCCTCCCTGGTGGTGCAGCGGTTGAGCGCTGGGTTGCGAAGCTGCCCGCGGCCTCTGCAGCGCCGGTTCGATCCCCGGCTGCTCCCCGGCCACCGGAGGAGGGTCCCACATGGCGCGCAGACCTCTCCTGCCGCCCGCTGCTCCCCTCAGCAGTGTACTTCGGTCCTTCTGCCTGCTCTGTTCCCCGCTCTGGCTCTGGTGAATTCTCTCACCCTCCTGCGCTTCTGACTGTACCCAGTGCATGTATAAACAAAACAAACAAACAAACAAATAAATAAATAAAACATGCCTCTATAAATAAAAAAAAATAAAAAAAAATTAAAAAAAAAAAAAAGAAAAACACTGGAAGATGAATGATTTTCATGAATCAGGTGTCAACTCTAACGAGAAAAAGTTCTATTCTTAACCATGTCTCATTCAACTTATTTATGAAGGCTTTAAATGATGATAAATATGTTGATAAAAATTTTGCAGAATGCAAAAGTGAATTAATCTCTCTCAGCCTTTCAGGAGAGGCTAACTGCAGTCCATGCATCACTACACTTACCACATTCTTTGATCTGGACAGTCTGACTCCTCCACTAGACAGATTCCAAGTCTTCTAGGTTTGGAATCCTCTACCTTGGTGCTTGGCACATAGTAGGTATTCAACAAATATATGTCCATCTTAAACAAGCTTAATTGCAAGGAGGGATCATAATTCAAAAGTTCAGGATACAGTAGGAAGGGATCCAAGCTAACCTGAAACTATTTAAAAGAAACAAATTCCTGTTTGGGAATTTTTAAAAAATTAAAATTAACTGCACAGGTGAAAGAGTTGACAGTGGTTCGCCTAAAAGAGCACCTCCGTCCCCCTCCCCCCTTTATTTTTTTGAGAGGAGTGGTTGCTGACTTAAAGCTCTCTGGAAACAACTGTGAAAAAAGAAGTTTCTTCAGCTTATTTACAGAACTCTGAAACTCTCAGCGACAGAAATAGAGGAAGGTGCGATATGCAAATTAAAGGAGTTCACTGCCCCATTTTTATTTGCCTGAGACCGTGTGTACCTCAAAACCCCACATTTTAAAAGGGACAAATGGGTACTTGTTCAGAAGATGGTGACTAGGTGGCAGGGGGCTTGAAGCCGTGCCAAATAGAAATAGCTGGAGACTCTGACGGGATTTTTTAGTTTGTAGAAAATCAAACCGGGTTAGGGATGGTTTATGCTAGCTGTCTTCAAATAACCGAACAGACACTACTCAGTTCTCCAAAGAGGAGAACTATAATCACTAGAAATTGCAAAGTAACATTATCTCTGCTCAGGACTCCCTCTAACTTGTAGAATCTCCCTGAAGTTAAACGGAATGAGGTATTTAGGGGCGGTAATGCCGCTTGGTCCCAGCAAGAGTTCGAAGAGAGTCAGCCCGACAGGTTTGAAGGTACTGTTAGGGGGAAAAGGATGTCCCAAAGCTAATTCCATATAGGCTTTGTGGACTCCACCCCCACCTAGGAACTCCAAATCCCATCATCACCAAAGGAAGGTGGCTGGGACCTGAGGGTGGGGTTAAGCAGCCAGGTGGGTATAATAGGCAGACAGTGGGCTTTGGGGACCCCCCATTTTGGCTCTCCGCCAGCTCGCAGCGCCCGGCCAGCTCTGAGAGTGACTTTGGGTTTCCAGGTCGTCGGATCGGGTAGGACATTTTCCCTATTTTCATTTTTCCTTTTCCTTTTCTCTTGTAAATAAACCTTTTATTAACCCTTTTGTGTGCGCCTGTAGTGGAGTATTCATAAGTCCCTTTATTTTATTTATTTATTTATTTTTATAGAGGCATGTTTTCTTTCTTTGTTTGTTTTTTTGTTTATACATGCACTGGGTACAGTCAGAAGTGCGGGAGGGTGAGAGAATTCACCAGAGCCAGAGCAGGGAGCAGAGCAGGCAGAAGGACCGAAGTACACTGCTGAGGGGAGCAGCGGGCGGCGGGAGAGGTCTGCGCGCCATGCGGGACCCTCCTCCGGTGGCCGGGGAGCAGCCGGGGATCGAACCGGCAGCGCAGAGGCCGCAGGCAGCTTCGCAACCCAGCGCTCAACCGCTGCGCCACCGGGGAGGCCCCATAAGTCCCTTTAAAGCGCGCGGGTGAGGACCCACAGCCAGGAACCCGGTTAATATCGGGGTTGCTCTATAACAGTACTTTTATATTGCGAAAGCGTAGACTAGAGGACCCCATTTCATCGTGCTTTGCTCGTTTGGCATTTCCCATGACATCTTGCAGTCGCCCGGTGTCTACTAGTCTGATCTCCCCCAAAAGCGCCCACGCTGCGTTTCCGCTCTTCAGCCTCCTGTGGGGAGTAAGAGTAAGTTAACACCGAGGAACTGAGGAGAGGCGCTTTTCTGAAGGACGCCTCTGATTACCCTCTCGGGTTTTTCCTCTCCCAGTTTTGCGATCTCCTAGGGCACGTCTACAAAGGCCTCAAGGCCCCGCGAGTACTCAAGATGCTCGCGCCTGAAACCTTACAACTCCTCGTCACCCACGCTCTGCGACTCTCTCTCCGGACCAGCCTCTACTCTATGGTAGGAGAGCGCGGCCGGTCTAACTCTCTAGCCCTCCAGTTGCCCTATCGATGCTTTCCGGAGGCCTCACCGGAAGCGCTTGTGAGGAGCGTTGGAGAAGCCGGAAGTTGCGCCTTCTTTCCTCGCCGTTTCAAAATGCGGTTGAGGCCTTGAGGCCTCGGGGCCTGTGACTGACGCCCCCTGTCCCGCGCTTGGCGGGGGAGCGACTCATGGAGCGGCCTTAAGGTGTGGCTCTGGACTTAAGCCGGCGGGGGGCCGGGGGGCGGGGAGTGGGAGCGGGCGGCGGCGCGGCCGTCTCCGCGGGCGGAAGGAGCTTGCGGGTGTGTGGCGGCGTGGGGACGGGTGCGCCGGGCGGAAGAAGGGCTGGGGGCTGGATTAGAGGAGCAGCCCCCCAGGAAGATGAAATGGAGGTGAAGTGACGTGTCACCTATTCAGCTACCGGGCTCCAAACCTAAAATCGAAATATTGGTATTGACGATGTTTAATTGGACGCAGAATTGGAGGAATGTTGAGGCACTTGGGAGGAAAAAAGGTTGCGAGAGAGGGAAGCGGGGAGAATGACATTGGGGTGTCTCTCGAGAATCTCGGAGCTGCGGGTCATCTGTCTCAGAGACCCTGAGGGCTCGTTTGAAGAAAGCTCCTTTGTGGCCACGCCCAGGCTTCCCAGGCAGAGTATCAGGAGATGGAGCTCAGGAATGTGTGTTTCTGTCATCAGCTTCCCGTTTGGTTTTTTTTATCCCACGAAGCTTGAAAACCGCTGTTTTGAGGGGGAGGTCTGTGTTGCGAAGTCCGTGGAACAAAAATCTGTCAGAGACTTTACTTCTCAGTTTAGGTTTATTCCTCTTCTTCCCTCGTACATTCTGATGCGAAAAAGTAATTTGAAACATAAATTTTTATTTCATGATAAGCACTGGTTATGATCATAACTTTTTTTTATTAATAGAGGCATGTTTTATTTTTTTATTTTATTTTGTTTTGTTTTGTTTATACATGCACTGGGTACAGTCAGAAGCGCGGGAGGGTGAGCGAATTCACCAGAGCCAGAGCGGGGAGCAGAGCAGGCAGAAGGACCGAAGTACACTGCTGAGGGGAGCAGCGGGCGGCAGGAGAGGTCTGCGCGCCATGTGGGACCCTCCTCTGGTGGCCGGGGAGCAGCCGGGGATCGAACCGGCGCTGTAGAGGCCGCAGGCAGCTTCGCAACCCAGTGCTCAACCGCTGCGCCACCGGGGAGGCCCTGATCATAACTTTTTTAATAGTTAAAAAAAGTGCATACCTGTTTGAGAAAATGCACACAGTATAGAAGTATGTAAAGTTAACTGTCCATCTTTACTAACCTTTTATCTCTTGCAGTTAGCTACTTTATATTTATTTATTTATTTAATTTTATATTCCCCATACAATTGCACCCCCCTTATTTTGGCTCCAATCCCTCCTTTCCCTGCCCCCCCCCCATAGTGTGTCTCTGGTTTATAGTTGTTTGTTGACTTTGATTTTTTCTGTCTTATAATATTTTTTCTATTTTTATGCATAACGTTTTAAAACAACATTGGGATCATTTTGTATGTATTCTTCTGCATCTTAAATTTTTCAAATATCAATGTCATGGACAGCTTTCCATAAAGCATACATACTAAACTTAGTGTTTTTTTGTTTTTTTTTTTTACAAATCATACTTTAAAGACTTGCATAATATTGCATTACAGGATTATACAATAGTTTCTTTAATCAGTTCCCCCTTGGTGGATTTTTAGGTTGACTCCTGACTTGGTTGTTTTGCAAACTGTGCTGGAGTTTACTCTTGCTACACACTTATTCTTTGTAGGTGTGTAGTAGGCTTGGTAAGAACTAAAAGATCTGAAAAGTAGTTTCTTTATTAAAAGAAAAAATCTAATCATTTCTGTGTAGTTGAGGGAGAATCAGACAGTAGTTTTTAATAGAGATCCCTAGGGCTCTAAAGAATTGGTAAAAATGATTAGTTCTGCTAACTTCTGATAAGTTATTGTTTTGTGGGTCCAGCACGCTTCTTTTGCATGCCCATGTCAGCTAGTCCTTTGCTCCTTAAGTGCTCTGAAAAAACAAGGTATTTTGCTCTACCTTGGGATATTCCTAGTTCTATATTATGGGAGAAGTAGTGAAATTGGTTTTTCTTTCAGTAAATACACCTCTTCTGAGGAAGGGCCCTTTTGAATACAGCAACAGAAAATAGCAAAAAGGGCTTTCTGCTTTCATTTAAAAGCAGACAAATTCTTCTCAGTTTTCTTTACGTATCCCTAGGGTTTATTAATTGGAAAGAAACTTATTCAGAGAGTTAAAGCAATGACACTTAATCTTTTAATAGGACTGAAGTATTTTCTAAGAGGGCTAGATTTTTCAAGATACTATAGATAAACACAATATTTGTGATTTTCTCATTTGGTATATACATTCAATAAAGTAACTAAAAGCTGTTTTTTCAATTCATATTTTTTTTCTGTTTATCCTGCTTTTAAAATGAGATAATTTAAATCATATCACGGATATATCATTTTACCTTTAAATATGCCAGAATGTATATCTTATCAGGTCAGGATTAAAAAAAAAAAATGATTGCCATGCATTCAGTTAATCGTTTCTAATAGTATCTGCTGTATATTACATCATTCAAAATTTCCTGACTGTTTAGAAAAATATGACATTTTGCACATGGCTTGCTTGAATCCAGACTTGAACAGGAATACACACTGTATTAGGTTTATTATATTTTATGTTTTATTTATTTTTTAAAGATTTATTTATTTATGCAAGCACTGGGTACAGTCAGAAGCGAGGGAAGGTGAGAGAATTCACCAGAGCCAAAGCAGGGAACAGAACAGGCAGACTGACTAAATACACTGCTGAAGGGAGCAGCAGGCTCAGCAGGGGAGGTCTGTACGCCATCTGGGCCCCTTGCTGGCGGCCGGGAATCGAACCGGCGCTCCAGAGGCTGCGGGCAGCTTTGCAGCCCAGTGCTCAACCACTGCACCACCAGGGGAGGCCCTATTTTATATTTTAAAAAGATTTATTTTATTTATGCATATAAGAACTGGGGTGTAGGCCAGGGGTACGGGTAGTGGTGGTGGTGAGAGAATTCATCAGAAAGAGTGGGGAGCAGAACAGGCAGATCCACTGAAATACGCTGCTGAGGGGAACAGTGGGCAAGACAGGAGAGGTCTGCTGTGCCATTTGGGTCAGCTCGTTGGCTGGCGATTGAACTTGTGCTGAAGTGGCTGCAGATAGCTTCATAGTGCTGAGTCTGAGCTGCTTGCACCACCAAGGAGGCCCTTAGGTGTGTGTTTTTAAGTCTCTGTAACAATCTCCTTAGTTCAACTCTCCTACCCAACCGAAGTCCTGTATGAGTATTAGGTACTTTCCTCTACCCTTCGTTTTCCCTGCAAACATGTAGTTAGTTAGATCTGAGGTTTGATTAGATTTTAATATATATTTTTTGGATCAAGAATATTGCATAGGGCTTCCCTGATGGCGCAAGGTTTAAGTTGCAGCACTATGAAGCTGTAGAAAGCCACTGCAGCACGAGTTCGGTCCCCAGCCAGGGAGGTGACCCGCATAGCGCAGCAGACCTCTTCTGTCTCTCCGGTTGCTCCCCTCAGCAGTGTATTTCAGTCAGTCCGCCTGTTCTGTTCCCCACTCTGTCTCTGGTGAATCCAGCTCTGGCCTGTAATCCAGCTCTGGTGTACATAAATGAATAAATCTTTAAAAGAAAAGTTTTTTAAAAAAAAAGGAAAAAAAAGAATATTTCATAGGGGAGGTACTGGGTGCTTCTTATACTTCACATCAGAAAGTGTATGATGTGTGATTGACATTTTTAGAGGTAAGTTTAGTCAGTGGGTCAAGTGCTTAATCCTACTGCATATGTGTTAAAATCTCCCCTTCCCCCTCTATCAGATGGTTTTAACATCTAATAATGATTGTTGAGGAGATGACATTTAACCTGAGACTGGAATGTTTAGGATGAGTCAGTCTTGTACTGAACTCACTCTCAGTGCTCCTAGTGAGGGGACACTGTGCAAAAGCCCTGAAGCAGGAAGCAGAGGCCCTGGTAGAGAAACCAAAATGTCAGGGTGACTCAGGAGCAGGGGGAAGACAGTGCGGCTGGAGGGCTGGACTGTTTCTCTTGAGGACAGCAGTAAGCTATTGTGCAGGGCGGGCGCGGTGGACTTGCTTTTTTGTTTTGGTTTGTTTTTTGAATCCTGCCTATAGTGTGGAGCTTGGATTGAGAGACCAGTTAAGAGTCTATTGCTACTTCTTGAAGTAGTCAAGAAGTAACACATTTTGGTTTGGGGAAATGGTCACAGAGAGAAAGAGAAGGGATGGTTTTAAAATCTCCAGGGTCTGGTGATGTGATAAGGGGGAGGAGGGAGTCAAGATGAATCCTAACTTCTGGTCTGCGTGACTGAATGTAACTACCCACTGGCAGCAGGGTGTAGTGGAAAAATGATAAACTTTAGGCTTGGGCAAGTTATTTACTTCTTTAAGCCTTTAGTTTTTTCTTTTAAGGAGCAGATAACAGTACCTAATCCTTCCTATACTCAGAGGGATTGCAAGTAGAAGAGGGACAAGATTTCTCTATTTCTCACACATGTCCTTGAACAAAGACTCTGTTCATGATGTTTTCCCTCTCCTTTTTCTCAGCATTCTCCCATTTACAAGTCCTTCCACTACTACTTCACTCTGTCTTACTCTTCCTCTGCCTTGCAAGTAACTTGTGAGGTTTAAATTTTCAGAGTTGCCAGTCCCTATTATAATGCTCCTCTTTCTACTCGAATGCTGAATTTGTGTGACTATTGCCTCCTTTCCCCAGAAATCATTCTTGAACTATTAAAAAAAATGCTATGGGAAACAAATGGGTGTGTTTTGAACTGGGGTGTGTGTGTGTGTGTGTTTCCTTTGGAGGTGTGGGTATTGACCTCTAGGACAGGAGTTTGCCTGGCGCCGCTGTAGAAGAAGAAAACCATGGGGAAGGGAACTGTTGGACTACTGTTTTAGTTTCTCATCTCCCTCATTATCTTGAAATTACCTTTTTCTACTCTTGCTGTCACCAGAGCCCTAGTCCTGCTCTCCTCAGGAGTAAATCAGGGTGTTGTAGGAGTCTCATCTTGTCGAGAAAAACAAGCAATGACACTCTTGTACTGAACTTCCTCAGTCACTTTGTCCCTTATCCTCTTATACCTTAGGTCGCTCCAAGTCCCTATTATGATGCCTCTTCTCCCTGAGGAACAAAGGTGAATGTTTGATTTCAGTGGCGATTGTATGGGGTATAGAGTGACTGATGTTCTGGAGCTTGCGCTTGCCACTTTTTCATTTCCTACCTTGCTTCATCTTACTGCAACTGATGTGAGTTGGAATCTAGTCTTCTTCCACATGGTTTGCCTGTCAGAGTAGCTGCTGTTCTCCAGGAAAAATAACACAAAGACAGTTGAAGAGCACAGAAATAATTTAACAGACCAACATTTTAATGTTAGACTGGTAGTTATCATAAAAGAAACAGGGCGGGCCTTCCTGGTGGTGCAAGGGGTTAAGCACCACGCTATGAAGCAATCCGCAGTCCGCAGCCTCTGCAACGGCCGGCCAGGGAGCAACCCACATAGCAGCAGACCTTTCCTGTCTCGCCCGCTTCTCCCCTCAGCAGTGTATTTCAGTCACTCTGCCTGTTCTGTTCCCCATTCTGTCTCTGGTGAATCCTCTCTCCCCCCCCCCCCACAACATCTCTGGCCTGTACCCCTGTTCTCGTATGCATAAATAAATATTTAAAAAAAAAAGAAACAGGGAAATATTAGCAAATATCCTTATTGAAATAAGCAGGGATGAAGAATATCAAGCATAGGGCCTCCCTGGTGGCACAAGGGGTTAAACACAGCATTATGAAGCTATCTGCAGCAGACCTCTCCTGATTTGCCTGCTGTTCCCTTCAGCAGGGTATTTCAGTCAGTCTGCCTGTTCTGTTCCCTGCTCTGTCTCTGGTGAATCCTCTCACCCTCTCACACATCTGGCCTGTACCCTGGTTCTTGTATAAATAAATAAATAAATCTTTAAAAAAAAAAAAAAGAACCCTATCAAGTGTATGCTAGCAATTTTGAAAACAAAATGGAAGCAGAAACAAAAATTTTGAATATATTTGAATTAGCATTACAATTTGTTTTTTTATTTTATTTCTTTTTTTTTTTTTTAAGATTTATTTATGCATACAAGAACTGGGTACAGGCCAGAGGTGTGGGGGGGGGGTGAGAGGATTAACTGGAGACAGAGTAGGGAACAGAACAGGCAGTTTGACTGAAATACACTGCTGAGGGGAGCAGCAGGCAAGTCTGGAGAGGTCTGATGCACCATGTTGGCTTCCTGCTGACTGTTCAGGATTGAAATCTTGCTACAGAGGCTGCGGACAGCCTCATAGGCAGCGTATTAACCTCCTGCGCCACCAGGGAGGCCCAGCATTCAATTTTGAATAATATTTATTAAAGAAGTTAAAATTGTGAGGGCCTCCCTGGTGGCACAAGGGGTTGAGACGTAACCTGTGAAGCTATCCACAGCTACTGCAGCACAAGTTCGATCCCTGGACAGGGAGCAGCCCACATGATGCAAAAGACCACTCCTGACTTGCCCGCTGCTCCCCTCAGCATTGTTATTTCAGTCAACCTGCCTGTTCTGTTCCCCATTCTGTCTCTGGTGAATCCTCTCACCCCCCACACCTCTGGCCTGTACCCCAATTCTTGTAATGCATAAATAAATAAATCTTTTTAAAAAGTTAAAATTGTGATTAAAAATCTTCCCACAAAGAAAACACTGGCTTTTATCAGTTTTGCAGGTGGATTCTACCAATCTTTCAAAAACCATAACATCTCCATTTTGTAGTTTTCAGACAGTAAAATAATAGGTACTACTCAAAAATTCATTCTATTAGGCCTGATAGCCCTAACATCAAGATGAGACAAAAACAGTAGACAATTGCAGACCCATTTCATTTACATAGATTTAGGACCTAAGCAAAATAATTAGCAAATCAAAATTAACAGGTTATTAAAAAAGGGTAATACCCAGAAACCAAGTTGGGTTTATCCTAGGTATATAAGGATTTAATGTTTTTTTTTTTAAGGATTTATTCATGCACACAAGAAGTGGGGTACAGGCCAGAGATGTGGGGGGTGAGAAGATCCACCAGAGACATGGGGAACAGAACAGGCAGACTGACTGAAACACACTGTTGAGGGGAGCAGCAGGCTAGACAGGAGAGGTTTGCTTTGCCATGTGCGTTGCTCCCTGGCTGGCTGGGGATTGAACTTGTGCTGCAGAGGTTTTGGATTGCTTCACAGTGTGGTGTTTAACCCCTTGCGCCACCAGGGAGGCCCTGTAAGGATTTAATATTTAGAAAATCCATAAATCCAAAATTCACATTGATTAAAAGACAAAAATGATCATCTCAGTAAATAAAGAAAAAGCTCTTTATAAATCACTCTTACAGTCTTATTTAATGAGGAAAAAGAGGGAGACTTCTAAGCTAATAAAAGAGTAGCTGTTTAAAAAAAAGCAAATATGTTGTAGGGAAACAATGAGAGCACTTCTTTTAAAGTCAGAGACAAAGAAACCTGATATATATTCAACATTGCATTGATAGTCCTAAGTACTAAGACAAATAGAAGAAATTAGAGGCACAAGAATTAGGAAGAGGGAATAAAATTCTGTTACCTGCAGATGATAGGATCATTTACATAGAGAACAATGATTTGAAAAAATAGGTTAATAGAAATAATTATGTGAGTTTTTGCAAGAGAACTAGATATAAGATTAATGAGTCATTTGTATTTCTTTACGTAGGCACAAACCACTAAAAATCAATGAAAGAGAAGGCATGATCGTGTCATAACTATTTTAGAAATTACTGTAATGCAGTGGTACTAGCCCTCTAAGGAGAATGTTCAGGAACTGCAAGGAACACTGCTAAGATATTAAATAAGTCTTTAATAAGTAGAAGAATATATCATGTTAATGAATTAGAGAACAATTTGATTTGCATTATAAATGTAATATTCAAAATCCCAACAGGGATTTTCATAGAACTTGATGATACTAAAATTTATATGGAAGAGTTAAGGGACCAAGCATAGCTAGTCACTTCTTAAAAGGAACAGGGAGGGGAAGATTGCCATACTGGATAGCAAGACTCACAGGAATTAAGACAGCGTGGTGCTGTGTAAACACAGAAAGGTTGATCAGTGGAATAGAGTAGAGAACTCTGAGGTGCATATAAGGGAAATTTGATAAATGACAGAGGTCATGGTCCAGAAAGGTATTGTTAAATTGAGCTGGGAAAAATGACCATTGAAATGGAAAGAAAAAAGTGACACTTGTGTAAAATCTCTAAAAAGAAAAATAAGTCAGGTCCAGATGGATTAGGATTTAAATGTCATAAAAGTTTAAAAATTTTAGCAGGCCTTCCTGCCAGTCTTAGTAAAAAGTATAGGTAAACATAAGACCTTGGGTGGGGCCTCCCTGGTGGCGCAAGGGGTTAAGCACCACACTATGAAGCAATCCACAGCCTCTGCAGCACGAGTTCGATCCCTGACCGGCCAGAGAACAACCCACATGGCACAGCAGGCCTCTCCTGACTCGCCCTGCTGTTCCCCTCAGCAGTGCTTTCAGTCCTTCTGCCCGTTCTGCTCCCCACTCTGTCTCTGGTGAATCCTCTCACCCTCCCACGTCTCTGGCCTGTACCCCAGCTCTTGTATAAATAAATAATTTTTTTTTTTAAAAGACCTTGGGAAATAAAAGATTACTTAGCTAGACCAGCTGGAGGTCATTGACTAAAAAAAAAAAAAGAGGTGATAAATATAAATTTGATATGTGTAGAATTAAGTTTTTTGGGCCTCCCTGGTGGCGCAAGGGCTTAAGACGCAGCCACAGCAGCATGAGTTGGATCCCCAGCCAGGGAGGTGACCCACATGGCACAGCAGGCCTCTCATGTCTCACCTGCTGTTCCCTTCAGCAGTTTATTTCTAGTGGATCTGCCTGTTCTGCTCCCCACTCTGTCTCTGGAATCTTCTTACCCCCTGCATCTCTGACCTGCACCGCAGCTCTTACATCCATAAAAAAATAAATCTTTAAAAAAAAGAATTAAGTTTTTGCTCATAAAAACGCCTTCTGGAAAATGCAGATTACAAATTGGGAGAATATGTTAGTAGAACACCCAGTTGACAAAGAGCTAATATTAAAACTCTGTAAAGAACTACTGTAAGTAAGTATAACAAAATCAATTAGAAAATGTGTAAAAGACACAAACATCTATCACAGATGAAATACATGTGGCTGACAAACATGTAAAGACAGCATCATTAGCGATCAGGGAAATATAAATCAAGGTCATACCTATTTGGCAAAAATTAAGTTTTATGATACCAAATTTTCAAGGAGAGGTAGATTGACAGAATATCTTATACATTCTGAGAGAATTATAAATTGGTACAAATATTTAAATTGAATTCCGTATTAGATTTATATATGGGGGCCTCCCTGGTGGTGCAAGGGGTTAAGACGCAGCACTATGAAGCAATCTGCAGCCACTGCAACACGAGTTTGATCCCGGACCAGGGAGGTGACCCACATGGAGCAGCAGACCTCTCCTGCCTCTCCTGCTGCTCCCCTCAGCAGTGTATTTCAGTCAATCTGCCTGTTCTGTTCCCCACTCTGTCTCGGGTGAATCCTCTCACCCCCCCCCCCCACTTTTGGCCTGTAACCCAGTTCTTGCATGCATGCATAAATAAAATGTTTTATTTTATTATTTTTTTTTTTATAGAGGCATGTTTTTATTTATTTATTATTTATTTGTTTGTTTGTTTTTGTTTATACATGCACTGGGCACAGTCAGAAGCACGGGAGGGTGAGAGAATTCACCAGAGCCAGAGCGGGGAGCACAGCAGGCAGAAGGACCGAAGTACACTGCTGAGGGGAGCAGCGGGCGGCAGGAGAGGTCTGCTCGCCATGTGGGACCCTCCTCCGGTGGCCGGGGAGCAGCCGGGGATCGAACCGGCGCCGCAGAGGCCGCGGGCAGCTTCGCAACCCAGCGCTCAACCGCTGCGCCACCGGGGAGGCCCTAAATAAAATGTTTTAAAAAAAAAGACATATATGCTCTGACCCAGGAATTTCTCTCGTAGATATGCCCAAGAGATACTTTTTGCACATGTACATCAAATAACATGTATAAGAGTGTTAATAGTGAAATATTTATAAGAGT